AAATTTTTTTGTAGTAGTGATGTGATGATGATGATAATAAAATTCTTTTAATTTTTATGAGGCACTTGTTGTAATTTTTTTTACTACGTAATTAGTACTGATGACAATGAAAGTTCTGTCAAAATTATAAAAGTTCTGCGATAACGAACATAAAATTTGATTTGTAATAATAATAATAATAATAATAATAATAATAATAATAATAATGAAGATGAATAAAAACGTTTAAAAAGTGCATTAAGCTGTGAATATTATAGGCAACTAGAAATTGTATTAATAAGGAAAGTACAGTATCTTGCGCTGGGGGTAATAGTTTAGAGAATGTCCTATGGGATGAGACCAAGGAAGGGATAGCCTGTGGGAGGTGAGTTACATCATACATGAGGGGAAGTGCTTGGGGTCATATGGAGGAACGGAATTATAGTACACTGACATGGCAGTCGGCGTTCTCATTCCCAGATAATGGATGATTAGTTTAGATGATGGTGGCCCAAGTGACCAAAGCCGGATCATTTCAAAAGTGTCAAGATCAGCAAAAATGGATTGGGTCAGCTGGGCAGGCCAGGCCTCGCTCCTATTTCTGATGCCCAAGTTGCCCTTCCCCCTCCCGGGTCCCCCACTTTTTTTTTTTTTAAATAATCTTTTTGGTGAACAAAGTAAATCTCACATTGAATTTGAATAAAAAATGAAAAATAATAGAAAAATCTCAAAAATACGCCACTGATAATGAAGTCTGATGAAATATGATAATTACTCTCATGTCTCTTAGAATCTTTGAAACATTAATATCTTTTGTAAAATGATTATAATGACTCCAATCATAGAAATCTAAGCATTGTAATTAATAAAATGACCTTTTTGCAAATTTTCTAATCATTGAAGTCCAGGCATTGCAAATATTAGTGACCATTTTTCTTCTGATAATGACTAAAATAGGATAAGTAATTACAACTTATCCTTCATAAATTTTTAATCATTAAAATCCAAGTATTTTGAATATTAGTTATTACTTTAGTTTAATTAATGTTTATTTTTTTATAATGACTAAAATGAGATAGTAAATAATGAGTTTTGTTCTGCAAATTTTTTAGTCACTTATCCATTTCTCTTTTTATTTTAAATTTGGTCCATTATAGTTATTCCACAAAAGATATTAATATCAGGAAGGTTTCAAAAAATGTGAAATTTGCTCCATTATAACTCATTTTTATTTACATATTTTGTAAGAATTTTTCTGTCATTTTTTTCATAAAAAATTTCAAATAAATAAAATAATGATTAGTTTATCAATTGATACATTTTATCGTCCAGTAATTAATTTATGAACCTATTGTCGGCTCAGGTTTCGATTTCACACTGCGACCCAAAATCCATTAACTTTTTTGGCCAAGTGAACTATAATAATATTTTTTAAACTAGATAAAGTTATAACATATTTTCTTCGATTTTATTTATAAATAAATTTTAATATATTTTATTAAAATTAAAAAAAATTTAAATTTTTATTAATTTTATCATAAAATTTAATAAGTTTTTATCTTTATCTCTAATAATTTTTTTAAATTTTATTATTGATAATTTTTAAAGTATTTAATAAAGATAAAAATATAAAAAAGAGTATTAAAAATTAATAAGTATTTTATAAATAAGATTAAATATTTTTCTCTCTCTACCCTCTAAATAGGATTAGAGGAGTATATTTTTCTTGTCTTCCTTATAAGATGCCTTCTAGAAAAGTTAAATGATCCTTATTTATTCTATTAAAAAATATAAAATATTTTTCAGAGATTGGATATTAAAAAATATAAAAATTTAGTTTTTTAATAAATAATTAATGAGTTTTTTTTTAAAAAATACTCTTATAAATAAAATAGCCAACCCTATGACTAACTTACTCATTGGTCTGAGGTTATGGTTAGGTTAAAAATGCTTGACAATGAGAGTAATTCACATAAAGAATTTTTACTTACTAATTTTCAATTTTACCCTGGCAAATTAAATTACTAAAAGAGATTTAATTCTAATTAAATATTTTTATGTGGCTTCTTCAATGATGTGTTTCTTTATCTTTTTAATAGGAATAAAATCGAAATATTTTTTTAATTTTAAAACTAATTTAACAAATTAACTATCATTTTTTGATTTTGCTGAAATAATTAAGAATAACTGATAATTGGGAAACCAGGAGCTGCCCACCTTTGGATCAAAGTACTTAACAAACTTTTTTGTTTCTAACAACTCAGGATATGGCATTATTTCAGTTGCAGAGTCTACCAAAAGTCAGGAAGGGACGAAAAAATTAAGTATAGTTTATGTGAAAGCGGATTTGAAAATTTTGAAAGGGCACGCTAAAATTGATTACAATTATAATTTATATAATTTTTTTGGTCCAAAAATTATAATTTATATTTGACGAATTGAACCAATCACCACTGCTTTGCGTTACGTACCTACGTTGCTTATCTTGGCGACATTTTCGCTCTCCGACTTTACAGCTATCTCAATTCGCTGGAGTAAATTTAAAATCGCGTTTTTTTTTTAACCTTATAGTAAATTTAAATTGATCGAAAGATTATAGTTGACCAATTAAAGTGAAATCCATGAGGTCACCATAAACGTTTTCCTCAGCCGAGTGGCCCTTCAGAATTTGAAAGTTGAAAGCCAATGGCGATTCAACCCCTTTGTCCTGCACTTCACTTTTTCTAGCCTTCACAACATTATATTAATTAGAGTTCGCTGGGACTTGAAAATAATAAATGTTTACTAGCGGGTGATTTTTCAACAATACTAAGAAAACAAAGGAAAAAAAAGGTGGTTTCTGTTATAAATTGCCTGCACAGTGCATAATGTGGCTGAGAGTGGGAATTAATATCTTGGATTCAACACTTGGAATTTTGTTTTAAAAAGAAAAGAAAATAGAGCCTGAACGATTCTAACGAGCGTCAAACCTCCCGCGAGATGATTTAGCGATTTCAAAATGTGGTACCATCATGTCACCAGCAAAGGTACTTTCTTCCTTCCTCGGATAACTGTTGAACAGAGTTGCCCATTCTCTGAGCTCTGATCCTGCAAACCAGAGGATATGTCCTATTCAAATGGAGCACCCTTCCAAGGCCAAACGGTAATGTCTTATCTCATTTCCAACAAACATCATCCTCTTTTTTACGTTATTATTTAACTGAGTTGAGCATTTCATCCTCTTGATGCATTGGCTAGTTTGTTAGTAGTATTGGCTGCCCTTACTTTTACTTCATCTTCCTGTCTCGCTCAATTTTGAGTTTATCTGAGACATGCACACACCACCTGCGTTATGATTATAGTCAATTCTGGAATCACCCACTCAAAGATGGAGAATCAATCCACAAAATCTGATCCTATCCCTCCAGAAAGGAAACAAAGTGAGAGACAGGCCCAGTGGAACTTTGAATTAATATCTTATCATTATCCTGATCAAGATAATCTCACCCATCTTAGCATCACTCACTGAGTCGCAAAACCCTCCTTCCTGCTACTCACTACGTGCTTCCACGACACAAACAGAGACGTAAACCTGTGAATAGATAGGTAGGTACAGAAAAATGGTAATTGTACCAGTATTGCACACAATCCACACGTGATTCCCTTTGAATTTTAAGTGCCTTCTTTAACCTTTTAAGTTATCTAGAAACGGGAAAAAATATTTGCCAGTCGATTAGTGATCCATATATACAAATACAGGATAACAGGTTACGAATAAAAAATTCAGTAAAATGGCTTGGAATTTGACGATATAAGATTTTGGCCAGAAAGATTATTACCTACGGAATCACCCACTCAAAACACGTTGCTGCACCCATGTCTTTGTGCTTCTTGCTGATGTGTCAACTGAGGGCTTTGAGCAAACACGAGATACAGTGACAGACCGTCAAAACATGGTACCCCATATGGCCAATAATAGATGGCCACATAAGCAAAGAAATGACCAGTGATTCGTAGCATGAACACCAGGGCTGTACAGGGACACGGAAGCGTAGGGGGGGAAAAAAAGATGGAGTGCGGATGACCACATTCTGTCACGCCGCTCTGTTAGCCAAATTCCACACCATTGATGACTCTAAAAAACAACCCAAGTGGTGTCCATCTCACGGAACCACCCACGATGAAAAGCGAGATTGTGTTATCGGGCACGTAGTAATGCACTGGACGTGTCTATCAAGACAGAAGATGTGTTTGGCAAATTAGTTCTAGTATTTGCATTGGATATTCCAAGTGACCTGTTCTGAAGCTCTTCTCAGACTCTCCATGTCGTGTGCTTGCTTGTGTTGGCTGCGTGCGAGTGTGTGTCGTTGCGTGCTTGCCCTCTATGCTTCAAAAGCTTCTTTTTCTGGACAATTCAGTTTCAATCCTCATCTGTAACAGACTAACAGCAACCGAAAAAGAGGAACGATGAGCGTGTTTTGCATGAAGGGATCTCACGCTTCGCAGTTGCGATAAGCCGTTTCTAAAATTTCGTGCACTTAAGTGGAAAGATAACAATTACAGTGGAAAGGTGAAGTGGCGATATTATGATGACATAAAGAGGCAGCTATACCATGCAGCAATCTTGAATAATAATTGGTTGGCAATATCCGGAGTAGGACGTGGTCTTTGGCTTCTGGGCTAACCTCAAAAAATGGTTTAATTTGCTTTATCTTACATTGGAAATTTTCTCTTTGTTTAAGAAAATAAGGAACTTGCCTGGTATCTGGCACGTATATACTCGATTAAAAAATATTTGAATGTGAATGTGAAGTCATGCTTGATGGGTTACGTGGCAGGGGGTTGTGAAGAGCAAGTGTAAAGCATTACTTCGTGTCACTGAAGTAAATCATGGCAGAGGTTGTTTCAGATAATCTTGATAACGTATAACCTCGTTAATTTCATGACTCCATTCTCAACCTGAAAGTGCGCTCTCACTTTTTTGCCTTTATTGCCTCATAATTATACTATACAGCCCAAGGAACCAGCGTTCTTGAGAGTGCATGCGTAGTGGCAGTCTAGTGTCGCACTAAGGAGTTAGAAAACAAAAGCCACCTCCCCAAGTCTCCTATATAAATCTCTCCGAAGCGATTCAAACTTAAAGCCCCAGGAGAGGACCGATCAGCTACGCATGCAGGAACATAACCCGTTTTTGTTGTAGCCTTCTTGTTCTGAGAAGGCCACAGAGATTGACTCTCTTGTTGGTTGTCTTGCTTCACATGGCACGCGGACACAAAACCCAGAGGCTCAACAAGTCGTGTATTCTCCTCACAGGTAAATCAATATCCATATCTGTATCAGTCAGTCATCTTGGTGTCGTGCTAATGTGCTGTGATTGAGTATAAGGTTGCTTGAATGAGATGCAGCCATTGCTGGGATCGAGAGGTTTGCGTTCAAAGGGGTGGCGTCCAATTTAGTCACATATTTGACTGATGTTATGAATCTAAGCAACTCGTCGGCGGCGAAGATGGTGAACAGTTGGTGCGGCCTCACCTCCATAATGCCGTTGCTGGTGGCACCCATTGCTGATGCTTATTACCACAAGTATTCCACCATCACGGCCTCCTCTTTCCTCTATCTTTTGGTGAGTCACCAGCCTCAATTCTGTTTCCTTTGTTTTCCTTTGTTTTCTTTTATTTTTGTTTTGTTTTTGTTTTTTCGGTTTTTGTCCTAACCCTCAATTCCGTTATCTCCTTTTTCTAAAACTGTTTCCTTTTTCTAAACGCTCACGGGGTCCTTAGTGGTTTGTCAGGAGGGGGATGCATTAAGTTAGTGGGAGTGTGGGTCATGACTTGTCTCTCCTCATGTCCATTTCTTGATGCACCTTCTCAGTTAATATTTAATGAGCATGCTTCCATGACAGTCTTAGTCCGTTACTTGAGTTGTGGCCATTTCTCACAATTTTCACTTTCAATGATTTTAATCAGTGGCTTCTTTTCTACTGTTTCATTTACACACGCTACTGTCCCATTTTTCCCATAATAAAAATCTAATTGCATCTGTTTTACCATATTTTTACTTGAGGAGATTTCCTATCACTGCAGCATAACAAAATAGGCCTCCAAACACAAGTAAAATCAATCATCATAAATTAAAAATTGTTCAAGGAAATTTTGAAACGAGTAGAACTGAAAGCTTCAAGTTCTTCTCGGTCTGATAACTTCCTCTACAACCGCAAGTGGCAATTTTCTGACCTAAATTTCAGCTTTTGACACGGTGAACTATACCATGAATTTTGATAGAGACAGGATTTTATAGTTGTGTTGTGTGCTTACTGCTGTGTTTGCTTATGTGCTGTGGTCAGGGACTTGCGGCGTTGACATCAACAGCAGTGGTAAGGTCAAGGCCTGAGGGAAAAAAAAAAATTCCATTTTCATTTCTCTCTTCATCTCTCTGTCTGGTCTCTTTAGGCCAAGGTGGGTATAACCCATCACTGCAAGCCTTTGGAGCAGATCAACTTGATGATGACGAAGAATTGCCCTGTAGCGAAGAAGATAGCAAGCCCAATAAGAAGACTGTGTTCTTCCAATGTTGGTATTTTGGCGTTTGCGGTGGAAGTCTGTTAGGTGTCACAGTCATGTCCTACATCCAAGATACTTCTGGCTGGGTCTTGGGTTTTGCCATTCCTGCAATGTCTATGGCTGTGTCTATGTTAGTGTTCTCATGCGGAAGCCACATATATGTATATAAAGACAGTGAATCCAAGACAAAGAAGCCCCTCAACAGAATAGTTCAGTCCATCAAATCTTATGCATTGAAGTGCTTCCGTTCTAAAATTACTCTGCCAAAAGAGGAGTCAGGAATAAAGGAGATGGAGTAAGTTCCTTTTTCTCCGTCAGAAAATTTTGTTCACAGTTTACTGTTAGATTAAATGGTGCTTTTTTTTTTTTTTGGGGTGAAATAGGCTTCAAGAAAAACCTCTCTGCTGTGAAAACATGGAAAGCCTAAAGGAGTTGAATGATAATTCTAAAAGCAGCACAGTTATGCTAGCAAACACTACGGTTGTGCTGAGACTAATCCCCATATGGACAATGCTTCTCATGTTCGCTGTAATATTCCAGCTACCTCCGACATTTTTCACAAAACAAGGCATGACAATGAAGCGAAACATTGGGGAAAATTTCAAGATCCCACCAGCCACTCTTCAAAGCGCTATCACACTGTCCATAATACTGCTGATGCCACTATATGACAGAGTTTTCATACCAATTGCTCAGCTTATCAGTCGTCAGGACAAAGGTATAAGTGTAACTCAGAGAATGGGAATCGGAATGGCCCTCTCAGTGGTAGCCATGGTGATTGCAGCTATGGTAGAAGTGAAGAGGCTAGAGATTGGAAGGGAAATGAGAGAAGCAGGATCAAAGTCAGAAACAGTAGATTTAAGCATATTCTGGCTGATACCACAGTACGTTCTGCTGGGCATTTCAGACATTTTTACGGTGGTGGGGATGCAAGAGTTTTTTTACAGTGAAGTTCCAGAGAATATGAGAACGCTGGGGATTGCATTGTATACAAGCGTGTTTGGGGTGGGAAGCTTCGTGAGTGCTCTATTGATCAGTGTGGTGGAAATATTGACGAGCTCAAAAGGGAAACCAAGTTGGTTCTCCGATGATATGAACGAGGCTCGCCTGGATAATTACTATTGGCTACTGGCCACCTTGAGTGCAGTCAGCTTGTTTTTGTATGCAATTTTGTGTAAACATTATCGCAAAAAGAGCGATTCTAGCTAGTAATGAAATTTTATTTTCCTTCAATCTCTCTCCGTTGCTTTCTTTTCTTTCTTTCAGTTTATTGACAATAGAATAGCACTAACCAACACTGGGATACCATCTCTATCCTTGTTTTTTTTTTTAAAAAAAATACTTGTAAATGTTTGAGTTAGTCAAGGGTTTAATTTTATCCTAAATGTAAAATCGCGATCTTCTTTGTATCGCACATTTTTTACAAACTACTCATATAGTTAGATTCTTATATGATATATAAGCTATGTTGACAATACTCGATTGTAAATGATTAAAAGGGGGTACTGAGTACTTTTTAGAAACTAACACGTACTTTTATATATAACTAACCATAGTTTTCTTAATTTGTGTGAATCAGCTCACTAATTCTTGCATTTATGATCAAAAGGAGTACAAAACACTATGGTAAAAATCAATCAGGAAAGATTAAGGAACCTGTCACGCCTGGTGAAGGAAAGTTGATAAATATAAAAAAATGAATCATCATCAAAGTTTTAAAAAAATCTTAAAAAATTATATAATAGAAAAAGATGGTCTGCGAAAAGGGTTTGGAAGTCGATTGTGTATAAGAAAAGCGTTAGACATCTCACAATACTCATTCATGAAAACAACTACTCTAAATTAATTGTATATGTTAATTGACTTTTTAATAATATATTAATTATCCTTTATAATCACATAAAAAACAAAATAAAAATAAAAACAAATGATTTATTTATAAAGGGAGACTTGACCTAGGATCAAAACCTAGGGCTTATGTATCTTGTGATAGGAATCAAAATTCACATAATTTGAAATATTATTATTTATTTTTAAATTATTTTAATTAATTTCTTTGTTGAAAAGATTGATATTTTGGGTTATATTATTATATCTATTTGTTTTAAATAACAATTTGTTCCAAGAAAGTACCTTTGGGTAAGAGAAAAATAACCAATATTAAAACCCACATTGATTTAGTATCACTCACAGTTTACTGATTGACACTTTAATTGTATACAATGATTTTGTATCACTTATGCAAACCCTAAAAAAATAAAAAAAAATTAAAAATAATTTTTTAGAAAATATTTTTATAAGAAAATTTTGATAGATATTTTTAAAAATCACGATGACTTAATCTTATTCATAACATAACCCAAAATATGTTAAAAATCTATTATTTTTATTATTTTTAATAATGCACATGAGAGAAGATTTAACTCCTATTTGAACTTGTAGTTATTTAATATTACTCATGATATTTCATTTGATGCTTTTAAATACTCATGATGATATAATATCATTCATGAAAAATTCAAGAAGAGAGTTAAAATTGTATTTTATTATTAAGACCTCTTTAAAAAAAAAACAATCCAAATAAAGAATTAGACTAATATAAACAATGGAAGACACCTTCATCAAGTACAATCTTTTGGTGATGCCAATTGAAATCACGTCACAGGTATTCTTTCCACACATGGCATCAAGCATACATACACACCCCCCTTAATTATTGCTCTTTACAAATGGTCAGTGAAAAAGAATCATTATAACAAACCATTGGACAATGTAATAGAGCCATGAGAGAACTCCTCCAAACAATTCCAACAGGTAGGGAAAAAAAAAAAAGCAATTAACTAGAAGTGTCAATGCTAAAGTCTCACAGCTTAATACCATACATCATTGCATGCACGCCTTGATGATAGAGATTAACAATTTATTGCTCATCTTTACAGCTTCAAAACCTTTTGCTCTGCGCCTCCTCTCTTCCAAAATTTCCTCTCACTTTTTGTGTCTGTCCAACCTCTCCCAAAAATCTCTGTACAGCTTCAAAATCTTTTGCTCTATGTCTCCTCTCTTCCAAAATTTCCCCCCACTTTCTCTGTCCGTCCAATTTCTCCCAAAAGTCTCTTTTTATAGAGACTCAATTAGAGTTTTTCTCACATTAATAATGCAATTAATTTTAATCATATCAAATTATTAATAATTTTCATTTGACTTTTGCCTTAATTATTTTAGATTCAAATTATATCATTTAATATGATAAGACCATAATTGTGAGGATATGGACGCTATGAAAAAGGAAAAAAAATTCTTTTAAAGTAATGAAGATATTATTTTATTTTATTTTATAAAATCATATTTTTTATTTTATTTATTTAATTTACTCAATTTTATTGAGCTTTTCAATTATTTTTAATTTATATCTAAAAGCCTGGATAAAACATCGTGTTCACAAAACCTAAGCATCAAATCCATCTTACACATCAAAACTCAAAGTATCTGTGCTGGAACATTGAATAGTTATCAAAAATTAAATGCCGAAATAAGTTGGTCATAGAAGAGTAGGAGGCTTAAGAGGGAGGGAGGTTACTTTAGCCCCTGCTGATGTGTTTGTCTGTAAGAAAATTTTTGGTTTATTTGGGTTATTTTCAAGGAAGAATTTATTCTTCACCTGCGTTCATCATTTTTGTATTACCTGTGTCAAGTTGTGAGATCTTTGTAATTCATGATTTATTTAATAATAAGCACTCGGTGACATGGGGTTATTGATATATGCATGACAAAATTTATCATAAGATGAACATAAATATATAATCCGCAAATCATATAATGAGTGATATGATTTACTATTTATTAAAGTTTATGTATAATATATATATATATATATATATATGAGAATATGGGTCTAAATTATATTGGAATTTTCACAAGATGAAGTGATTGGTCAAAGATGAAAATGTATTATTTCAATTGAAGTGAATACTAATAAGAAATAATCTTTGAGAAGCCTTATAAAGGCCGGTGCGTGTATTTTTATTTCCCATGAATTTATTTTTTGAGAAGAAAATCTTGTCTAAAATAAATGACCCGCAACCAATGATAGTGACAAGGTAGGTAAGTGTTGCGGAAATTGGTAGTTGAGTGAATGCGGAGTGCGGACACGCAAATTCCTGGATATGGGTTTCATTTGTGCACCGCTCTTGAGTCTTGAAATTCCTTTCATGGAAAAGATGATAAATGAGAGAGATAGAGAAGAAAAGGAAAAAGAATTTAGACTTTATGTGAAATTAAAAAGGACAGGAAGAAAATGTCAAAGCAATTAATGGATATGGCTGGGTTGAGCTGAGCTTGAGTCTCTGCCACTAAACGTATTGGGTGAATTCCAGCTGTGTTGTGGTTGCCTTCCATGCTCAGCTTTGCCTTCCACGCTGTCCTCCACTATCCCCCCATCCCTTTTTTCCTTTTTGTTTTTTTTTTCCTCCCCTTATTTTCCCACTTCACTCCCCTCTTTCCCTTTTCATTTCTCTCCATTATTATCTGATTCATTCTTTCCGCCTACCCACCTTTCTCATTAATGTCACGTCTTGTTATTATTATTATTATTATTGTTATGATCAACATATCATATTTATTTAGATTCACATGACTCTCAATCAACCTTCGACACCCTTGAGACCACTCCAAATAATACCCAACATTCCAGTCATGTGCTCCCTCTTTGAATTTTTATGATCTTTCTTATTGACTTGATCCCCAGTAACAGCACTTCATTAAAAGTAAAATCATTCACGTACTGTATTTCTGTGGCATACGATTACAGTAATGAAGTATATTTACATCCAAATCCAAATACTAATGATGACACCAACAATAATGGAGTAGATAAGATAACTTCCATTTCCATAGAGTATTTCTGGTTATCCTAGGGACGAAGGTTGTGTGATGCGTCTATAAATTTGGAATCCACAGTGAGAAATCCCAAAGCACAACTCTCACATCCTCTGCTCTGCTGCGACAACCAATGGGGGGAGGAAATGGCCAGAAGTCCAAGATGGCTCGTGAGAAGAACATGCAAAAACAAAAAGGCCCTAAAGGTACCACTATCTTCTTCCTCTCTTCAAACCCTCCACTCTCACCTCAGATTTCAATCACTTTCTCTCACTCTGTTTCGGTTTCTCAGCAACCCTGTTCTTCTTTCCCTCATTTTCTCCTCATTATCTTTTCTCTATATTTGCAACACGCACGCATATGATTCTTCTTCTTTTTTCTTTCCCAACAGGAAGTCAGCTTGATTCCAACAAAAAAGCCATGACGATCCAGGTACTAATCCGATTGTTCCTGCTTCCTCTTTTCTCTGTGCTCATGTCTCTGCTGAGAATATAAAGACATATAGGAATGGAGCAAAACAGCCCTTTTAAGTTAATATTAACATTTTCGTTGGATTTTCACCCAACTCTGTGGTATGCTTGTGAATTTTGATCTGATTATGAATGCACATAACACGATTAACAAAAATCAGATCACTTCAGGTAGATATCTCTGAGATTGGATTTCCACGTTGTTGTTGCGTAGATTAATGTAGCTAACTTGATTGAACTCGTTAAAAAAAAAAAATTAAAAAAGGTAGAGAAAGAGGTTGAGATTGGAATTATCAGATGAGGACATATAGTTGAGAAGGTTGGTAGGATGATGTGTGTGACGTTGTGGTATGAAGTGAACTGATGAATGGGTATGTGAAATGAAGTGCAAGGTGTGCATGCAAACATTCATTTGCACAACATCAGAAGTGAAGTGCAGGGAACATGCAGAGGCCAAGCACCCCAAGTCTGATGTGCACACATGTTTCCCCCATCTTAAGAATTCAACCTGATTTCTCTACTCTCTGTAATTTTATAGTTCTAAACTTGCCGGATAGCGATCCTTTAATGCTATATATGTATATGATATGTAATTGCTATTATTGATATTCTTTCAATAAACCCAGCTTCCACTGGGCTATAGATCTGCCTAGTTCATGTTACAGAAGTTTTTCTTTTTAGATGAACAGTCCCCGGACCTCTTTGAACTCAAAAGGCAATAATATTTTTCAAATCATCGTACATTCTTCTATGCCTTGTTATACTTTACAGTAAAGCTTAAAGTTGAAGCCCTTATTATGCTTTTGAGAAATATTGATAAATCTTTTAATTTATGTAATGGTACATGTCTAATCGTTACTCAGACAGGAAAATGTATTATGGAAGTACAAACAATTTTATTATCAAATGCTAGGATAAAGAACTCCATTTTAAAGATTGATATGTTACCTTTTACTGATGATTGCCATTCACCTTTTATAAAAGACAATTTTCTGTTATATTGTTCTTTGTTACAACCATAAACAAAAGCTAAAGTCAGAGCTTGTTTAGTGTTGGACTATACTTATCAAGATCTATCTTTATATATGATCAGCTATATGTTATTATATCTCAATTATAGAATAGGAAAGGGTTGGGGATATTAATTCTTAATACAGATGATAAGCTCACAAATGTTGCCGCAAACATAGTCTATGAGAAAATTTTCAACAATCTAACTAATATATGACAGTCATCTATTTGTTGAGGTGCTATTCTTTTTTATTTTTTAACTATTTTCACTTTTTATTTGGTGTAACAAGTTGTTGCATTTATCTACAACCTATTTTTACAATTTACCTGTCTTTCTTTATTTAACTGTTGGGTCCAAAATTAAATAAGTGTTTAAAATTTATATATTGTATTATCACCACCATTTTTTTGCAACATCATTCTTAAATATTAATTATTTAATTATTTTTTATTATTATTTTAGGTATATAACTACTTAATATATTTATAATTTACCATCATCTTTGAAAAAACTGTACAAATAATATCTCATGCAATGCACGGGTGATTAACTGGTGGTTTAAAAATGAAAACTTCGCTTGAATTACCATAGCAGATCACTCTATGTACAGAGGATGAAACAAGTCAATGATGAATTTTGCAGAGTACAGTTAGAAACATACCTCTGGTCTTGGCTTTATCTTCATGTTTTGCCCAAAAAAAAAAAAAAAAAAAACACCTATGTGAACATAATTGCGACATACATGGAAAAACAAAAAAAACATAAACGTATCCATATCCTATAGTAAATAATTCTATACATATATTATATTAGGAAAATGACATATTAATACCACCAATATAAAAAATAACATCGAAGGACGACTTTAAATTTGTGAACCGTAAGTGAAATTAAAAATTAAAATAAATAAATGAAAATGCCTTTACGTACGTCACTGCATCTGCTCAGTTAGAGTTCAGGTTGTTTTTGAAATTTACGATCTGTCCTTGGCGGGAATTGAGTCATTATATCAGATTAATTAGAGGAAAATTGGTATATTTCAGAATGAAAGGAGTTGATAAGAAATCAGGAATTAATTAATTGTGAAATAATTCCTGATTTATTCTAAAATAAAAAATGATTCATTCATAATTAATGTGATTATTTCAATCAAATCATTCACTTCATTATTAAGCTAATTGATGGCAAATGGGTTTTGCTTTTTGGCAGCACCCTCCTAGCTCTATAAATAAAGATGAGTGGTTAGAGGAAGAATTCATCTCAAAATGAACATCTTTTTTTTTTTTTAATGTTTATTATCCTTTTCCTCTCTTTTTATTTTTGATGTATCGGCTGTGCATCTTAAATATGTTTGGATTCAATAACATTCTGGCCCAACTCCATTTTCTGACATATTATTTACTTATAATATTCCCTCAATTATAAATTTGTAATTATAGTTGTGAATACTGAACAGATTGTAGATTACATAAATTTTTTTAATTTTTAAAAACTTGGTTGTAAATCCTTAAAACTTAATTGTGAATTAGCTATGTCAATGTTCATAATTAATATTCTATTTTTTTTAATAGCCAGTTGATCATGCAGATTCATTCATTCATTTTTATTTTTTTGAAAAAGCCTTGTCATTCTCCCACATCACAAATTTATCATCCTTTTATCATGTCATTATCTTCTATTCAAAAAAAAATTATTATGTCATTATCTATATATTAATAATTTACTAATTCCGAGTCGCTGGACGCAGTGCATATAAATAATAAAAAATAAAACTAAAACGTGGCGACCAATCATTACATTCCACATATCCTGCACCAACACCCTTGGTACAGCTACTCATTGTAAGGGTGTTCACGGGACGGGATGAGACCGGGACACTCCTGTCACCTGTCCCGTCCCGAAAAAAAAAATCGGTACTAAATTTTGGTCCTGTGTTCCATCCCGTCTCGAAAGTTATCCCATCCCGTTACGAGATCGGGACGTCCCGCCGTCCCGATAAATTGAATAATATCGAAAAAAGATTTGGATAATAACGTTCATTAAAATTTTAAATCATATAATTTAATAATTTTAAAATCAAAACAACACAAGCACATAAATAATAATAATTTAAAATTAATTTTTGAATTATATTAATCATAACTACATATTATAATAACAAATACAAGTGATCTTTATGCTATAAGATTAACAACAACAAGCAAGTCAAACAAATATCAAATCATTATTCTTCTACTTTAGTGAACATGTACTAAGCTAATTACTCTTCTAAAAATAAGCAAGAAATATGTTATAAATAAAGGTTATTAAATAGATAGATATAAGAATAAATTATATTAATATAATTAATATATTATAAAGAAAGATATCGCCATATTTACTCCATGCCATTAAAATTATCAATATAAAAAAACTTTAGTTTTAAATAAGAATTGCAAGTATTAAAATTATAATTGATATAATTAATATAAGTATAAATTATATTAATATAATTAATATATTTAAAATAAAAAAAATAATATATATAATATTCGGGACGGGACGGGACGTCCCGATGGTAATCCCGTGTCTCGTCCCGTCCCGAACCCCTTTCCTGTCCCGTTCCGTAAAATCCCGTCCCGATTATTTTCGAGCCGAGACAAGACCCGTCCCGATATGATCGGGACGATACTGGGCCAATCAAGACGGGTCTAGGTTGAACACCCCTATTGTTTGGTTTAAAAAAACATTGGTCCAACGCAAAATAAAGATCAAACCAAACCAAATTTTCTGTTCATAACATGAAATTGAATTATCAGGCTACTTATATCTAGTCTGGTCCTAATAAATTTTGTTAATATAATTGAAATTTATTCATATATCTCATCGTAACACTATCTCGCATATTAGTGTTTTTAATTTTATATGTTTTTTAATATAATTTTTAATTTGTTAAATAATGTTCTTAGTTTTGTATGTTTTATTAGTCTAACACATGTAAAAGTGATGAGTTCTTACTTAGCCTTAAGAGAGTAAGGGCGAAGCCACATTTTTTTTTTGTTTTTTTTCTTAATAAAATATATTACATTATGGAGTGAACTATAGTGAAGCAAAGGAATTCATATTAATTAAATGATATAATAGTTTGATTAATGAGTCTCGCATATTATGATTATTACAAGGCATAGATCTTTTATCTAACAAGAAGTTAGTTTAGGTAAAACTAAGCTCCTTTGTATAATTTTATGTCTTTTGTATAGCTTGTTATAATATAATTTATACTTGCTAAAGTTTATTGAAGACTGTTATGGATTATAATTTGAATACTTTTAATTGTTATTGAATATTGTTAGAAATTGTAATGGATTTATTATGATTAGTTTTTTTTAAAATTATAATTAAGTTTTAATCTTTTAATCTTTTAACTTTACGTAATATTTTATTTTAATCTTTTAATTTTATAAAACATATTTTTAATCTTTTAATCCTAACACTGTTAGTTTTATCAAAAAAATTTATAAATTAAACTTTTAAATATTAATAAAAAATTATTAAATGTTAACTTATTGAGTTTAATTTTTTTAAAATAACACTGAGTGGTATAAAAAATAATTATTTTAAATTTACGATATTAAGATTAAAGAATTAAAATATATTTTATAAAATTAAGAGATTAAATTAAAAATTTATATAAAGTTAGAGGATTAAAATTATTTTTTTTATGGCCATGGCTAAAATTATACTTTAATATTAGGTTTTTAATGTTTTGTGATAAGTTTCATCACAAATTTATCACCTGTTCATTATGTCATTAGTCATTATCTATATCTAAATAATTTACTAATTACCGGACGATGACTGCACTATAATATGAATCGTAAAAAATAATTTTAAAAAGTGGCCACCAATCATTATATTCCACATGTCCCATACCATCACCCTAACACCCCCTTAGCATCGGCTTCTTCTACGTCCCGCACCACCCCGCCTGCTCATGACTCTGTTTATTCTCCAGCATTTTTCACGCAAGGACCTTCTTGGAGGAGGATCAACGCAAAAAAAAAAAAAAAAAAAAAAAACAGGTGCGCATAATCTCAACACAATCTTCGTCTGACCCTCACTTGGTCGCTCTCTCGCTCTCTATCTTTAGTCTATCGCTTCCTTCTTTTAATTTCTTTTTTATATTCATCGTCGCCATCTCTTAAAAAATTTCATATGCAATTTACTTGGATTTTTGAAGCCACGTTGTTTTATGTTTGCATAAGTGGTGTTGGATTCCACATTGCTGAGGGGTGATCTGGTGAGTGAACATCCTCTCACCAAAGCCGATAGAGCGGCGTCACAAGATGATGCATGATGCATCCCGTGCAAAGGCCAAGGGCTTACTTTAACGTCGCTACTCGCTTCGGCATTCACAAATTCCGTCTAGCGTTTTTTTTTTTTTTTGGTATTTTGCTGCGCATCCTCCATAATTAGTGTTATATGTTTCACTCAATTCGACGATACTCACACTGCATATTCCTCGGCCTTCTCTGCTTCCATTCTAGGGATGTATTTATGGGTACACTGTGTTGCTGCGAGAAGTAATGCGAATTATTAATAGAATATGGTCTCTTCATGGACAAATGAGCAAGATTACCCCAACCTCAGCGAAATAATGTGGGAGAAGTACAACGCAAGGAGAAAACAATTGCAACATGTTCAAGTGTGCTAAGTGTACTCCCTTCCGTTCTTCCTCTAGTTAACAACGATGCCCACATGAGTTTGCCTCCTATTATGTTCATTTAGTTGCATGCCATAGGTAGTAGATATTATAGTGTTTTATTGGTGGCTCCTTCTAGTGTTGATGATTTTCCCAAAATTGTCAGTTTCTTTTGTCCATCAAATAATTTTAACTTTTCTGCAACATATATTATTGGTATATGATTCTAGTTGTTGAACTCATGGAATGGCTAGCTGCATCATTCCTCTATATGAACAAATCGCTCAAAAAATGAAAAGTATGTCAATAATTTAAGTTAATTATCCATGTCAATTATTATTAGAAGCCAGTTTGATCAATTGTTTTCACTGAAAAAATCTTCAATCTTCAATATAATTAAAAATAAAAAATTAAGTGACTATTGAGTATGTCATGTGACATTTTTGCAATTTATAGAAGTCAAATTTTCAAAAAAGGAAGGTAGAATTAGAATCCCAACATCTACTGTTTCCTTGCAGTCTGCAGAATTACCCGTTTTCTTTTTTGTTCTTAATTACTTGAGTACTTGCTGTTGTTGCACCACCAAAACAGATGCCGAGCTTTCAAAATCTGGTGAGGCAAGCAAGTCTCCAATGATACCCAACTCTTCAAACTCACACCAATCTTTAAGTCCAGATGTTACACTACTTTCAACATCATGCCTCCTCCCAACAATAAAGAAGTCATGATCATCGACTAGATCACGAATAACAGAAGCAATATCTTCTCCACCCTCTGTTATAATTTCTTTATAAATCACATGTGAACCATAATGTCCTTCCATGACATCTTTGAGCACTGCATTATCCAATAATTTATCCAAGGTAGATGATCTTGAGTTGTCTTTCTCAGGAATGTGGTAGACAACTAACCTAATGTGAGGGTTTATGCTTGCTCGTTTGGCTAAGCACAAGGCCTCTCGATCATCTTTCCCACCGAAAAAGATAACAGCCAAATGCAATGTCATACTTGGTTCACTTGGAAGGGATGCGCGATTTACAAGGATACCAACTGAGCAAGGAGCTCTCTCTAGGACCCTACAATTCAAAGACCTGATGTTCTTGTCTTCTGATTCAATGGAGCCATCAATGGACCATCTTCGATGGAATGGAAGTACTATAATGGATGCAAGTTTGTCCAGTGCAAGGTAACAAACATCTTCATGCATGTAGCTAAATGGAGATATGGCTGTGTAAGTGTTAGTTGATACCGCACCTGGGTTCTTGCCGTGTTCATAATTCTGAAAGGACATGAGTACATTCTCAGAGTACGAGTTTGTCAAGCCCAAGTTCGCATCTCTTCGCAGACGGTGAGAGATAAATATGGGTTGGTAGCGTCCAACAAGCTCGATCAAGTGCAAGGCGTCGACAATGACGGGAAAGTCATGCGTTGGATTACAAAGATCAATGAAATGCATGATACCAGAGAGGTGGTGTTGTTTATGAATACAAACAAGCATACGAAGGTCTGAGTTGGGTTTCAAATTCATGATGTTCCTTTTCTGAAAGCCAGCATATTTTCTTGTAGGGTCATACAAACATTTCACAGATATTTGCACAATGGTTGCCATAAGCATTACACTAATCATCATCACTCCATAAGTCGGGGCATGCAGTTGCTGTATAGATAAGTTAAGAAGAATTGGTCAGTGAGTTAGAAAGTCAAAAATTAAAGATAATGCAGGTTATATGGAAAAGGGTGGGGAGAGAATGAAGTACCTTCCTATCAAACACGGAATTGTATATGCCTACATCCACCACACCTTTGCAATTCATAATGAGAGCAAGAGCCAAAGCATCATTGAAGGGCATCTTGCTATAGAGTGAAGGTATCAGGCAAGCAGATATTTTGACAATATGGACTATAATGACGAGACATCCCATAATTATAAATGTCCTTAATGTATCCTCCAATGAGAGATCAGCTTTCATCACACTGGTAGTCACAAAGATGGGCAAGAGGAATGATTTTCCTATCAATTCAAGTTGTGTAACTAGTGCGGATCCTAATGGGGGTCCTTCTGGCACAGACAACCCCAGGATGAAAGCTCCCAAAGCAAAGGCTTGATCTGACCTTGACAGAAGCCAACATAATGCAAAGAGCAATGCAATGATGTTATAAATGTAAACTTGCTTCACGGGTCTACCCTCTGGTGTATGTCTTACGATCCAAAGCATTGCTGGACGAACTACTAATGGGATCAATATGATAGCTGCAAACAAGGAGCCCAAGGTTTCATAAAGCTTTTTCCTGCCCATAATGCTACTCACAATGGCAGTGGCAAAGCTTGTGAAAGTCGTGCTCAAAATGTCACTCACTAACGCTGAGGATAATGCTAGCCTGCCAAGCTCTGAATTTAGGATTTTAAGATCATTGAGAAAGGATGCAATAACTGCAAATGAAGTTGTGCTATGTGATACAAATATGACAGGCAGGCTCGGATAATAGATTCCTAGAATAGCTGTTAATGGCTTCTCTAAGATAACGTAATGGAATAAATATCCTATGCCAATAGGTATAGTTAATCCTATGAGGCCAATGATCCACGATTTTCTTCCTGTTCTTAGTATCATAGAAGTATCCATTTGTACTCCATATAGAAAGATGAACAGTGCATAACCGAGTGCTGAAATTGTTGCGAGAGTATCCTGACTCCCATAAGGAAACAAGATTCTTTTGCACTTGTCTAATGGCTCAAAATGAATCGAGGGTCCCAAAATGAAGCCAGCCTACGAAACAAAGAGATAATGTCGATAATCATGCTTATATTTGACAGGATTATTCCTTTCGGGGATCACCATTTGCATGATTTTGTAAAAAAGAAAAGAAAAGAGAGAGGGGATTGTGACGCGAGAATTGAAATTTTGGTTTCAACATAACATCAAAAGGAAGGAAAGGGTCTTACCATCATTTGCGAGAAGAAGAGAGGAAATCCCAAGCGCTTGAAGAAAAAATGACATATATGAGTGATCGCAAAAATAACAATGACCTGCAACTCAAAGATTGGGAATGAAGATTTTAATGGGGAGGCAGAATGCTTGTGGCTTCCCCATATTCCATCCGAAGAAATTCGAGGTGGAATGTTAATGCAGACATTGTAAAATGTCTCATTGGGGGATGAGGAAATTAAGTCAACTTGAGAGAATAAGGTATCATTGGGATTCATATTCGAAGTGCCCCCGAGTCTCCCCGCAAAACCAAGGCGGGAGACGGGGGAGGGAGGGAGAGATTAAGGCACAATGAAAAAAAAAGCCAAAACTTGTGGGTCTCCAAATTGCAAGGTAAAGAAAAACAATATATAACACTGCGAGAATTCAGAAGGCACCTAGCTTTTGATCTTGAAACATCTCATTCAAGCATTCGTAACGATTTTTCTTTTGAGGGTGTGCTGTGTGCTGTTTCAATACGTGACACCTAATAAAATACTTGTTTTAGTATATCTCTTCTAAATTATTTGCCTAGAAAAAAAAAACATAAAACCATTCCTGGTCTCGAGAATGTATTTTCTTAATTTAGCATTATTTTGCTAATTAATTCCTAACAACTTGGTGTTTCTGGAGTCAACTTATTCCTTCGTGTGATTCAAATATTCCTCCTGTCAATTGTTTCGTGTGTGTGTGTGTGTGTGTGTATTCCATGTTTATTTGAAGTAATTGAGGGGTCGCTTTCTGTTTAAAAAATAACTTGATGTGGGAGACTAACCCCTTGTATCAAATGCAACCCATTGGTTAATATTCATAACTCATTGGAAAATTTTTAACAAGACTCCCTTAATCCTACTTAACTTCAGTCAAAGCTCCTAACATTTTAAAATTTCACTGCATATATATGAGAAATTGAAATGATCTTATTGTCCCTAATGAAATGAACAATTGATCTATGAAAAATAAACAAGTGACATAAAAAATGAATAACTAATGTAAGTAAAATGTGCAGCTCTCATTACTAGCATAATTCTATTATGAATGTACATAAGTGAAGTTAGGTGCATGAACACCTCATATAAAAAAAAAAGAACAATTAATATATGAAAATAAACAGCTGACATGAATGAAATAAGAGTTGTGAATTTATAATAGTATTATATTGTTAATGAAAATTGTAAATTTTATCAACATTAATTGTTCATTTTTCATGCACTAGTTATTCTTTTTTTTTTTGCATGAATTGTTTATGTGTGTAGTTTCATCTGAGACAATAAAATTATTTTAATCCTTCACATGTGCAGTAAAATTTTATAATTTTTGGCATTTTGATTGAAATTAAATTGGGTTAGGGGCCTCACTAAAATTTTTCCTAACTTTTTTATATTACCTTTAATGCGAAGCAATTAATTATGATATATTTTTTTCCGCACGCAAAGTTCCTGCTTTTCTTTTAGCTAACTATTTAATCACGAGATAGATGAAACAAAATAAAACAGATAAAACCTAAATGACTGTGATTGTTATAAGATTAGGACAATTTTTTGCTTCTACAGCCCTCTGCAGATATAGGAATAGAAATAGTATAGCATAAAACCTGAATTTCTAGCGACTCCGGTACAAGCTATTTTTCTCCATTGTCAAAGCTTCATCTGGCAAACATATGGTTAAGTTGACTATTTGAGGATTAGCTTATTGGACTTCAAACATTTAGACCGTGTACACGCACACAATGAAATCTATAGAAATTGTAATATATCAAAAATCGTTCTAGACTCTTATATAATGCCCACAGTCCATCATGTAGTTCTTTTTCTATTATAACATGATAGCACCATTTAAAGTGTTCACTTTTTTAATCATGTTTTTTTTTGGGTGTATTTTCAACTTTAAATAATTAAATTCATCTTATATTTTTAAATAATATAAATATATGTATATTAAAAAAGGGCGCTGAGATTATTTTATTGGGCCATATTAGCTTAAGAACAAACAAAAACATGTTTTTGGGGGAAAAAAAAGGCCACTGGTTGGGCTTTTGAGATCCTGGCCGCTTTCTTAGGTGTAAATATTATATATAAGAGCACAGGAGTTAGGGTTTACCGCGGCAACGATCGGAAAGGAAGCAGTGCTGAGATAGGCAAAGCGAATAATGGGACATTCAAACGTCTGGAATTCGCATCCTAAAAACTATGGCCCTGGTTCTCGGACCTGGTTTGTTTTCCATTTTTACCATCTAGTCTATTTTTCCCTTTTTCCCTTCAACTTTGGCCGATAATATGCCTAGGTTTTCAATATTTTTTTGTTCGTATTCATTCCAATATTATGATGTTTTGGGTCATTGAAATCATTGATTTTTTTATTGGAGTCAGTTAGAAATTTCTATCATCAACTTTCTAAAGTTCTGTATCACTATTTACTGCTCACTCCAAATGGATTGTATGATTCAGGTGATTTCTATTGTTTGCAATGCCCTTCTCATTAATTGAGAGGCAATGTAAAATTAATCGCTGCCAGATTTTTAGTTGCCTCTTCCTGGGACTTATAGTATTCTCGTGCTAGCATAACCATGACGATATAGACAAATAGTGGTCTTATTATGTAGGAATACTTTTAATGTCATGTTTAATGCTTTCAATTCTGGTTAAACTTTGGGCTGGATCAGGTTCAGTTCGGTTTAAGCATTAGAATAAACTTATTAATACTGATATCCTCAAAATCTCCAAGTCTACGTGTATTTTCTCTTAAATGCTTCAAATCTATAAACCTATACTTAATAATCATTCACAAGTTCGTAGTCAAGAACTCAGCTATACTGACGAGTCACAAATTTCATGTCTATCGTTTTTTTTTTATTTCGTTACCACAAAAAAAAAAAAAACTAGCATAACCTGCAAAGGACCGAAAAGTCTCAGTTAATTGCATGAAGCAGACAACTGCAAACAATAAGTCCTTTTTAACACATACTATTGAATCTTATTGAATATGTTGGTAAAAAAAAAAAAATCCTTTTGAATAGTGTCAGTGGAAAAATCTGCAGAAGTTTCATAATCAACATATAAGGTATAATCTAATTTTCATCTGCTTTCTTTGAATTGGCTACATGGGGAAAATATGTGCTAATAGTATGTGTTAGAGAGTCTAAACATATATCAAAAGTGTCCTGATCGAGCAGTGGCGTTGTGGCTGATATTGGCACATCTTCAAGACAATTTGATTGCTTGTGACTTTTCAATTGAAAACTCTGTTCCCACTTCGGTTCCATAAATCCGAGGCAAATCATTAAAGACTGATAATCCAACCGATTAGGTTGTTTTCTATGTGTGAAATACTGATTCGGACCCATTAATTCTGGTTTTGATTTATTTTAGTTCAGTTTGGTTTGCATAGATTGTTTGGATAAATGTGGCTCAATCTTGCTCGCATTTTCCCCATCATGGAATATACTGTTTTACCCCACTGTCTGTGTTATTAGTTCACATGTGAGATTTTGTCACTGTGCAGCCGAGTCTGCGGGAACCCCCATGGGTTGATCAGGAAATATGGCCTGATGTGCTGCAGGCAGTGCTTCCGTAGCAATGCAAAGGAAATTGGGTTCATCAAGGTATGCTCATGTTGGGGATGTTTTTGATTGTATTGAGACGTAATTTTGTGAATCGTCTAGTTTGCTTAGTTTTTCCTTTCGGGTGATTTCTCTAGTTGTGTGAGAATAGGCCTAATGTTTTGTTCGTTTTATCATTTATTTACTGCTTTTTAGTTTGTGTTTTACGAGTCAATTTAAATGTGGGGGATCTTTCTGACGAGGGTATGATTGATTTGTTGTCAGTATCGCTGAAGTTTGATGGCATCGGATGGACATTATTTTGGTACAATCTGAGTTATGGTTAAGAGGTGCTGCTGGCGTTTGGATGTATCCATTTGAGTTATTCCCCAATTTTTTTCAAGTGTTTATGAGATTTAGTTTATGACTTTATTCGGCATGTTAGACTGGCCAAAGTTTCTCCCAAGTAAGTTATTTGATGAATAGTCAAGTTCCTTCTACCCTGCTTTATGAAATAGAAACTTATAAATATAATGGCTTAGTTATATTAGAAACATGGTAACTGATTTCTCACTGCTTGAGAGAGAAAAGTCAAGGGGATGGGAGTGGGATTAATCCTTCCAGTTCAGTGGAACCCACCTTACCTCTGGATCTGTCTCTTTTCCTGTTTCTTTACATCTCTCTGGTCTCTGGAATTATTCTCTTCACCTGATCAATTAATCTCTTACTCCTGATCAGTAATAATTTTGATAATATTGATAATAAGATAAAAATAGAACACTGTACCAAAAATAAGACAAAACCACTTCTGCTAAAGGGGCTTAGGGCCCGTTAAATTTCTTATTTTAAAAAATTGTTTTGAAAAACAAAATTAATAAAAACTGTTTGAAAATTTTATTTTTTATCTGTTCTGAAAAATAAAAAATTAAAAAATTGTTTGAAAAACAAAACGATTTGAGATGTTACAATACTATGTCCATCAAGAGTTTAGGTAGATTCATTGACAGAGCAAAGTCGTTCCCTGCTTTCAGGTCACCCCATCCTTTCGTCATGCCCCGTTATTTGGTTTTTGCCGTTTTTATCTGGTGATGATTAGAACGCACGCGCCCAGTTCCCACCTCGAGTATGTCTAATTTGCGCATGATTTGTTGTGACAAGATCTCTCCGCCTCTTTGTTGGATAAGGCACTAAAAATAAGATTAGTCATTAAAACGATCAAGACTAGTTAAATTGAAGGTTAACTCAAATTCAAATCGGACATGATAAAATAATATGATTTAAATAAAAATAAATTTTTTAAGATTTAATATTTTATACAATACCGCATATAAGTCTAACACAATCATCAAAATATCATTAAAAATATAACATTTAAAATATTTATCATTACAATCCTTTAATCATTAAAAAGTCTAAAGCTAATAATAATTAACACCAAAATCTTTATTAATTTTACTCAAATCTTCAGGAGTAGGGATTAAAATATTAGGAGATGATTGAGAGAAATTAAAACCATTTCCAACATCATCAATCAAATTGGATGCTCTTGGAATATTCATACCTTTGTCACCTATTTATGACAAGAATTAACATTAATCATTGTGTAAAAAATAATTATATATTATGCAATATAGACATGTTAGTAAGTATAAACTTTTATTATTTCTCTCAAAAGCTCATGAAGTTACAACATTTTTATTATACATAGCACTTTCCATATTAGTGACATTATCAACATCAAATTTTGGAGCTGGATCTTGTTCCTTTTTAGCAATCCAAAAGTCTAATTTGTCAATAAATTCATAATCAATTGGATCAAAATTTGTTTTTTTCTTCCATTAGCTCCTTTGATGAGATCAAAGCAATCAAATATAAGTATATATCTATCATGAAATGGTAATAAAATTTTTATTTATTAAAAACATTCATAACTTTCATTTTTACCTATGCTTCAATCGTAGATTGTAGTTTGTAAAAACTAAATCATTTAGTCTTTGATGTTTCAATCTTTTTTTCCGATATGGATGCGTTCAAATAAGTTCCAATTTCTTTCACAACCAGAGGAAGAAGAAGTTTGGCTAAGAATATGCATTGCAAGATTTTGCAACTCTGGAACAGAACTTCCATAAAATGAACACCATTCATCTGCAAATAAAGGACAACTAGTAAAATGTTATATGATAAATAAAATTATCATGACCATGTTAAATATTAACACTTATAAGGGTCTAGTTTTTGTGCTACTCTATAACATAAAGCTTTATCAAAAGATTCTTTATGATCACGATACAAGCTCAACTGCTTCATTATCACAATATAATCAACATCTTAATTTTCAGTTGACTCAAACACTAAAAGCATAGCATCCATTAACTTTCTCTTATGAACAAAATCATCATCATACAAGAAGGCAAGGTTCAACAAATATGTTGCTACATGAAGATTAGTCTTCAAGTGCTTATCCCATCGGGCATGAATAATATTTATGTAAGGCTTGTATTGATCCTTCTTATTATTGAAGACTTCCTTAATTGTTTTTTTTCCCTTTGCATGCCTTCATAAACATAAGGCAAAGAAGGCTTCTCATTTGAATCAACAATTCTCAACAACTTTATGAGAGGAGACACAACCTTTATAACTTCAAGACATTCATTCCAAAATCGATTATCTAATATGATGGCACGAACAATTATTCCAGCTTTGGTCCTTGATAATTTGTGATCCACAAAATGCTTATCAGTGATTAAAGCTTGCAAATCATGTTTGTGCATATATATGCTATGCAATGTGATAAATGTTGTAGCAAACCTTGTTATACTAGGATGCACAATTTCTTTCCAACCTTTCTTTTCTTGAGCCATGACAAGAAGACCATATGATTATAAACAAATATAGTGATCTTTGATGCCTTTGTTGCAAGTTGTGGCACATGAGACATGCTTGCAATGTTTTTCAAAGTGAGATTCAAACAATGAGCAGCATAAGGTGAACAATAAATACTTTTATATTTATCTTTAATCAACTTGTCACATGCTACATACTTAGCAACATTATCAGTCACCACATGCACAATATTTTTGGGACTAACCCACTCAATCACTTCAAGAAACAATGAGAATAAAGTCTTGGCATCTTTTATTAAATTAGAAGTATCAACAGATTTCACAAATACTATGCCATGTGTAGAACAGACAAGAAAATTTATCAAGGTTTGTTATGTCACATCTGTCCAACCATCAGCCATGAATATGCATCCATAAGTTTTTCATTTAGATTGATAACTCTCAATAAGTAGCTGACATTCTTTTTTCCAATCATTCAACAAGTTGACTCTAAATTCATAAGCATTAGGACCTTTAAACCTTAGCCCAATTGAAGCAATAGCATTTTCAGCTTTTGAAAAGAAAGGGCAATCTAATGCATTAAATGGAATGTAATTAATAATAGCCCATTCAGCAATGGCCATTTTTGCATTGTGTTGTGCTTCTTTAGTTGTAAATGCACTCTTAATGCCTGGCTGGGAACCTGAAATTGTCCTGGGAGCAAAATAATTTTCAACTGAAATAGTAGGAGGTTTCTTTTTACTGGCACTACTCTCAGGAATTGACTTAGATGTAGTAGGTGCATTGGGTTCATTAGCATTAGACACATGTTCCCCCATGTCTGCTTGTACATTAGCAAGCTTTCTCTTTTTCCCATTTTTCAATGATTCTTGCATCTAATGACGAACATCAAGAGGAACTTTGCTACAAGAAACTACATTTTCACTTACATCAGCAAGATGATGCTTTAATCTATTTATTCCACCTCCCTTATAGCTCAATGCACAATAAAGACATGTATACACATTTTTGTTGCCCTCTTTTCTTAAGGCAACATATGCCCATACAGGATCTTTTTTCCCACAAACTGATGGGGTTCTAAATGTGGAGTCATTATGACTTGTAGGGGGATTAATAGAATTAGGGGTGGGATTGTTGGAATTAGGAGTAGGATTGTTGGAATAAGGAGTAGGATTCTCAGTTCCTTTACTACTAGAATTATTTTCAATATCCATGTTATAGCTTTAATCTGCAAGCTACGATAATGTCAACATAAATAAACATCTAATGCAAAAAAAAAAAGTAAAGCTCGAACATGCCAGCAGAGCAAATTCAAGAAGTGTGTAGATTAAAGCTGACATGCCAACAAAGTAAAGATTCAAGAAGTGAAGCTCGAACATATAGAGCAATTTAATTTCAGCTAATTTAATTTCAAGAAATGAAGCTCGAACACACACTACTCTAAGAGTACAGAGTAGCATATTTCAAAGATATAAAGCAACAATAGTTATAGAGTAAATCAGAATATAGTACGCATATCATAAATGAAGCTAGAAGATACAGAGCAACAGCAATAGCGAGAGAGAGTAACTACATGAAGCTCAAAGAAGGGAGAGAGAGAAGCCATACTTGAATCAAGTGGAGGGAGAGAGAGAGTAGCTACCTGAGATATATTGCCGAAGCTCCCAAGGATGACACACGATAGTAAATGAAACGAGACCCTCTAAGCTTGAAGAGGAAAGGATGAAGATCAGAGAGGCCGAGACGAGACACTAGATTCAGACAATCAGACTAGAATTCTTACCTTCTCGGTTCATGGGTTTAGATTCAGAGCTTTAGACAAAGCACAGCTACAGAGAGGAGACGAGATGAAGGCTGGGTAAGGCTTCGAGGCAGGTCATTTTGGGGTACGTAGGGCTTCTGGTCATTTTCAATTCAAGGCAAAGGCGAGATGGGCAATTCAAGGCAGAGGTGAGATGGATGCGCGCTTCATTTTTTTTTTAATTTTTTTATATGATGACCCCCAAAAGGACATCGTTTTAGGGGTTAGATTTTAAAAAATAATCTACCCAACCTCTTGACCTGGGGGGTTAGGTGAGGTTAGCCGGGCTAACCCGGGTCAAGGGTGTCCATCTTGCCCAACTAAATCAGACTGGACTAGATGCTGGGTCATCGGTTGGACCAGCAGGTCTGGTCTGATTTTCAATATCATGCTGTTGGAGTCACATCCAAAGTAATCTTGTGTTTGGAAATATTTTCATCTTAGTCTTTTTTTGTTTGGCACAAATTCATCTAAGTCAAAAGTGACATGGAATTAGTTTTATCTTTGAAGTTACAAAAGTCTAAAAGCATTGTAAAATCAGTTTTTTCTTTAAAGTTACAAGTCCGTTTTCAACACATTTTCAAACATGATTTTCCCCTTCGGAATTGTTTCTGCAAGCAACATTTCCACCCAAATGCAATTTGATGAACCTGACTCTTTTACTTGTTATGATAGCAAAAAAAAAAATAAAAAAACTTACCATGAATTCCTCCCCTCCCCCAAAAAAATGGGAAAATAATAATTAAGAATCGTTAAAGAAAATTTATATCCATCAACAATTAGTTATTGTCAAAATCTAATAGAAAAATAAGTACGAATGAATTGTTATAATGAATACCTCAATAGTTTTCATAAA